GTGCTCTTCCGATCTAATTGTATTTCAGACGATGAATAATACATAACCGATTTTTTCTTAGTTATACTTTTCTTTCTTGTTAGTTGAATTTGGATTAAGTATTTTTATTGTTAATTATGTTTAAAATTATGTATATTAAACATAATGGGAAAAATAAATGGTAAAAATAAACTGAAAGTAAAATTGAAATTTAACGCGACTTTAACACTTTCCAATTTCAGATATAAAATTGATTTAAATCTTATTATAAATTGTTTTATTACGTATATACAATAATATGTATATTCATATATAATTCATATTGTATATACAAATTATTAACGCCGAAATCCATGAATATATCGTATCTCCGTTATGTTATGCTTACATCGTTCTAGATCTATCTGTATAAATTCATTTTTATTATGGTTTATAATATATTATTTTATATGTTGCACAGATAAGTATTGTGAGGGTGGTACAAACGTGTACGATCGACATGGAAACAGCACCCGCTTGCAGATTTAAAATATCTTAAAAAATGACGAAGTTAGCTCTTACCTCTATTTTGAAAATTCGGTACAATCACCCCTTTAAGGGTACAAACAAAATGGAAGGTGGTACAAACGGGTACAAACGATCCCAAAACAGCACCCGCTTGCGGATTTGAAAAATCTCAAAGTGGGGTGCTAACATTTTTTTCAACCCTTCCTAATTTTCAATCCCTTGAGGTACGAGTACAAACGAAAAGAAAGGTGGTACAAACGGGTAAAAACCGAGCTGAATTTAATGCGCACTTGAAAAAATTTTTTTTTTAAAGTCGGTTGCCAGGTTCACATAGGTGCGATAGTCCGCGATCGGACCATATTTGGGCATGGGAAGTCAGGTGTCGTCTTCCCATGTGACCTTCATTCGCGCTCGCTCGCGAGGAATTCGCGAGCTTGCATTCTTGCATTTCCGCTCGCTGCTGTGCATGCGTTGCTATACCGAAATGCAAGATTTATCGCAGGATAGCCTGGGTTATAACAAGAGTAATTGCGCTCGCCTTGCCACAGCCGGGTCATTTGTACGTTTTTCCGTGTCATTTTGTGTTAATTTGCGTTGAGAATCCGCACGATTCATTGCGTTATTAGCGTACCGAACTTTCGCCAACTTTCGAGGATATCGCAACACCACGTGGCGTGTGATCGGCCATTACGCCGTGCATGGCGTACTTCTCGCGTGCCGCGACATTGTGTTCCGCGAGATAGAATTAATGAAAACTCGTACACCGATCAGTCACCGAAACTGACGAGAATATTACCGGTTGCCGCTCCGTCATACGCAGCCCGACGAAACGCTCATATGCTGTAGTACACGCAATTATATTTGTTACTGTTACAGAATTATTGTGTTTTCGATAGCGCCCTTGCTCTCCCGCATTCCTTTGCGCTCCTACGAACCGCCCCTCTGCCAAATTTCGGGGCTGAGTTACCGGTCACCTGAATCGTCCACCGATCGCGGCAGTCAGAGTTTCGAGCATCTTAACTTTCGCATGCCGTTTCGTAGCGAACATCCTATGTATATCAGGGATTGTAATTCGGTGCAGTCACTTCGAAGGGTGGCACGCCCACTCGTGCTTGGCGCCCAATTTTGCGTTTCAGTTGCCGTGTAATTTCGAGTTATCGAGATCGCGACCAATTTTCGTCTGACTGTAGCGACGGACCGCGACGAGTCTTGCTTTCCGCTCGTGAAAGCGGTTGCAGTATATACACATAACATAACAGAGAGATACATGCATGAAGAAGTAGGAAGGATAAAAAAATAGGTCATTTATTAAATTAAAATTAAAAATTTGTTCTCTTGTTTTTTTGTTGATAATAAAATTGTTAAAAAGTAAATCTTTTCAGTTTCGATAATCATTCTGAATATGATTAATTATTATATTCAAGTTAATTGATATGTGATCGTAGAATTTTTGGTACATAGCAACGATAGATCGTTCTCTTTCTCCTGCGACCGTCGGTGAGCTCACCTCGCGAGCGATTAAATTCTTCGAATTAAGATAAGTTTTATAATATAATAATTGTTAATAAGCGTTTAAACTTATTGCCATTTGCTCTATATTATTCCATGGTTAACTGATAGTTTTCTCAGATACAATACAAATGTTCATATATCGTTTATATATAATTGTGTGAATTTGTTTATCATTTAATTACTATTGTGTTAGATTCAAGTCAAATAAATATATGTATCTATCAGTATATTTTATGTGTCATATAATACAGATCATAATCGTTTAATAATTATAGTATATTACTTATTATAATTTTTAACAAAAATTATGCGTTCCAGATTAATGTTCCACTCTTAAATAATTTGGTAGTTCTGAAAAGGACCGTTTAAGAGGATGCTGAAAAGTCGGCCAAATTTGTACAAGGTCGATAAAGCAAACTCTTCAGTGTTAGTAGTATATCTGAATGAACTTCTTACAATATCTTCTGGTCTCACTCAAACACGTGGAATGTCCTTATCTAACTTATTGAAGTGCCATCTCTTGGAAAATCCGGCACTACTGCCAAACATAATTTTTGCTGTCTTTACCTCAGCCGAGCGTACGAATTACCACAAATTACAGTTTAGTGGATATCTTTTTTTCTACGCTTTCAATCGTAGCTCAAAAGACTTTGTATTATTCGTTCATGTATACTGTGGTGTTAGACGCACGCATTTTGTACATATGAGCTACAGAACTTTCACACTAATGAAATGTTTATGTCAGGTTATGGTTAGGTGTCAGCTGTACGACCCGAAAAAAGGTAATTTTTAATTTTTTCCGATTTTACTACAAATTCGACCATCTAACACCACAATTTCATGTCTATTTTAACCCTGTGAAAGGATTTTCAATTCCGTTCAGCCAATTCGGAGAAATCTACTAAACTGTAATCGTCGGTATTTTCTACCTTCCAGCATCGCCTTAAAGGGTATATGCCCGGAGGGATGGAAAACATCTGTGATAGTACCGATCCCCAAAATAGAAAAACCAAAAAAAGCAAGTGAGTATAGACCAATCAATATATTACCTATTTATGAGAAAGTTTTAGAGCTAGTAGTAAAGGAGCAAATAGAAAAATATTTACTTAATAATGACATTATAACAGAAAATCAATCGGGATTTAGAAAAAAACATTCGTGTGAAACGGCGATACAAAGTGTTATTGATGGCTGGAAATTGATAGTTAGTAAGGGAAAAATGGTAGGAGTTATATTCCTGGACTTAAAACGGGCATTTGAAACGATAGATAGGACAAGATTACTGGATAAATTAGATCAGTACGGAATAAGAGGAATGGTACTAGAATGGTTTAGATCATATCTAAGCAATAGAATACAACAAGTTAGATTTAATAATCAATTGTCAAAATATGTCAAAATGAAGAATGGAGTTCCTCAAGGATCGGTTCTAGGACCTTTGATATTTATCATTTATATAAATGATTTAGTACAATTTTGTCCTGCAGAGTGCAAAATAAAAATGTTTGCGGATGATACGTTAATATATGTAAAAGGTGAAAGCGGTACGGAAATAGAGATGAAATTGAATACGATGTTACCTGTAGTAGAAAAATGGTTGGGTGTAAATAAATTAAAAATGAATGCCGCTAAAACAAAGTATATGATAATTAGAAGCGTAAGGAAAGAATTGAAAAGAGATATC